CCAAGATCCCAAGAGGAGAATGGAGGAGAAGGGATTGCGGCGTGACCATCCCCCCTGGGGAGTGATTTCTCGCTTTCTGTCTCTCTGTCTCTCTCTGTCTGTCTGGGGGAGTGCACACACCCTATAGCAAAAACCTCTCAAAAATAAATAAATAAATAAATAAATAAATAAACTAAAACCAAAACCAACTATACCCTATTGTTTTCTATTAAATATAAGAAAAATTACTAGGTTTCTGCTACCCATATTCTTTCTTTTATCATTACTTCATTTAATCGAAATGGACTCAAATCCTTTTCAGGAAAAAATGCACTTTTGATACCTTGTTTTTAAGCTGATTATGCTTGTGCTTATGCTCTTGGGAAAGCAGAAACAGAAAAAAATTAGTCCAAGATGCAGAAGACATTAAATGCCAATACTGGTATAAACACAGGACTGTGAGAGAGAGTAGGAGTGATTCAGTGGAACTGAGGAGCAGGTTGTGAAAATCAGAAAGGACTTCATGGAGGGGATGGCACTCATGCCAGGCCTTGAGAGCTAAGATACAGCTTTTAGAAGAGGCAAGTGCCCCGGCGCTGAGGGAAGAGTGAGCCAAGACTGAAGATGGCTTCTGTGTGTGGGGTTTGTGGATGGGAGAGCAGACCCATAAGTCAGATAGCTAAATAATTATATTCACAAAAATTTCTTAGCCTATTTTGCTTAGGAGATATATAATTTTTTTCAAGGCTGAATGCAACAAGAAGAAATTGCTCATTTGACTACTCCAGAGCTAAAGGAAACTATGTATGTGGCAGATAATTAAGTGAAATATTATTTTGTTCTTCTCTCCTTCCCTAAGATTTCCCTGCCTCTTTTGGCAGCTAGTTACCAGGCTTTGTGGTTCTTGTAGTCTTTGCAGCAGAATTTGAGTAGGGTAAAAAGAAGAATAAGATCGAAGTGGTCTAATCTTTTTTGTTTTAGTTTTTCTATAAGCTTGGTGTGCTGAAAGAGAGTGAGAGAGCGAGAATGAGAGTGAGAGCGAGAGAGAGAGAGAGAGATCAACCCTCAGGGGAATGGTTGGGTTGCAATCCCTTCTCCCCTATTCTCTTCTCAGGATTTTGGGCATGCACACATACATACCTGGCAAGATTTTCAGGCTGCCAGGTTCTGGAACTGAAACTGCTCTGTTGGCTCTGTGAGATTCAGTGCCTTCACCTCCAAACCACCTACTAGCCCCAAAGAAGTCTAATCTTAGAAAAAGTTTTAATCAATTGATTGCTAATCAAAAGTGTTGCTAGGACGCTGGAGCATGTTGGAATAGGGAGCTTTTGACAGGGGCAAAAGGATAGGAGATGGGACTCATTACTCTGAGTTCATTATTCGTTACTCCGAGCCAGCGGACAGCCCAGGAAGGAGACCTTGGTACGTTGTTTCCATTAGGTACGATTCTCATACAGACATGTGTAGGGGCACAGTGAGTCAAGGAACTTTGCGGGACACATCAGACAAAAACCATGAGGGAGTCAGTAGCTCCCAGGATATACTGGATATCAGTGGCCATCCTCAATTCCAGGTGACATGTAAGTCTTTGAAATTCTGGCATGACCCAGGGAGGAGAGCCTATAACCTGACAAAGTTTCTTACTGCTCTGAAGAACGACGTAAGGAAAACGATTCCTGCGCCCCCCAGGTTCGTGGACCAGAATCTGTACTTATTATATATACAAGTAGTTTTAGCCTCAAAGAGCAATGTCTGGGACTAAATAGAATGGAGAAAAGGTTGAATCAGTCAGATTTCTGCCTTTAGTTCTTGACAGAGCTTCTAGAATAGAACTAACATTTATGACACACTAATGAGGTGCAAAGTATCGATTTACGTGATATCATTTTATCTTTATGGCACCTATAGAAAGCTGCTGTCAGTGAGGCCTTATGCTATTACTCACTTTCCTTGATAATAGGAAAAACTCTGTTTAAAAGGGCTGAACAAATTCGCATCCCCACTCTACCCTTCTCCCTTCTAGAGGTAACTGAGTGAGAAAAGAATTTCCGCAATTACCCAGCCCACTCGGAGATACACACCCCAGAGTATCTCCGGACATTTTCCCTTTAGTTATGACTGCAGATTTCTCTCCCAATGACTGCTTGTCATTTACCTTCACTGTGCTCTGATAAATGGCTGCCGTAGCTTTAAAGAAGGCAATTCCGCCACAGTAACCTTCAAAGAAACCATCCCGAATCAAAAGCTTATAGATCACTGACTCTACTCCTTATCTTAAAATAAATATTTGAGAAGGAAAACCTTCCACCATATATTCACTGGGAAGGAAAATGGATTGTACTTTCCATATGGGAGGCAGGGATTCTGATAGACCGTGAGATAGTCTGGTGCTTTATGCACCTGTCATTTTGTTCAGTTGGAGTCGTTTTGCTTCCTGACAACTCACTTATTGGTATCAAAAAGCCAGTGGAAAGGTGAGCTAACTAGGGAAACAAATGTCTAAATGATGCTTGCGTTGAAGAGCAGCTTCTTCATAATTCAGGTGTTGGTGGACACTTCAGGAGTGAAGGGATCCTAAAAGGTTTAAGCTTATTGTGTATGTTAGAGAGAATGGATAAAATGGATGCCTAGCAGTATGATGACAGAACATTAATAACTAAGTAATTAAGGATGAGATTTAGGGAGTTTCACTTCTCACTTTATATTGCTTTTAGGATTCATATTTTTAGAGTGGACATTAATAAGTTATAATCAATATTTATAAACAAAATTCAAAATATGACATAGAAATAGCCTTATAGGACACCTGAAAAGGAAGGGAAAACTGTATAATTTTAGGTTGAAAAAGTAATTAAATGTCAACTAAAATAGAACAAATGTAGTGTCAACTGCAGGCAATGCCTCTGTGAGTCTTAGAATGGGGAAGGGACCCACTATACCTCTTCTCGGCGGCTCATGAAGGGAACAACTGGCTGAGTCACTGCCAGGGCAGAGCCAACTTGGACTTCTTCAAGGAGGTGGAGATAACACACACAGGGTTTTCGGACTCTTGTGTTTTGGGATTTTTCCCTCCTTGGGAATAGCTTGCCCTAAAGGGACTAAACAGGGTTGGTCTCAGCCTCATGAGGCATGGAAGGAGTGGAGGAGAGAGTTCAGTGTCTTTTGCTGTTCCCTATCTCTCCACCTTCTCATCTCTAAAATGCCGTTTAAAAAAAAAATAATGAAATGTCTTCATTTGCTTTGTCTTTTTTTCCTTTTCTAATAAGAGGAAGGGGAAATAAGGAGATGGACTTTGGAACTGAGGTCCAAGAGCGTTCATGGGCAGCCTCAGGGCTGAGGAAATGTCAGTGCCTGGCGCCCTGCGGGTCCTCACTACACTGGGCATTCCTACCCTTTTTTTTTGCACAGGGCAGAGGCAGCTCCTAACAGATATCTCAGTTGTTTTGTTAGGAGTTTCATTTCCTGAGGAGGCATTATGAAGACTTTCTATTTTCTTTTTGTTGTTTTAAAATAGGGCTGTCTTATCTGAGACTGTGTTAATTAACTTATCATGTATTGCCTTGTTTCTAGTCCTGCACACCTGATATGAATAAATTACTCTTTAGAAGACAGCTTTCAGTACGTGATGCAACCAAGAACAGAAGTTCAGAAGGGCTAGGGCATGAGGTGTGGGCTTGGGGACAGAATGAATAAAGGCATGTGCAGGTCAAAGGCTGGCAGGACTCTCCATGGCATGGCCAGCCCCACTTACCTTTCTGTTTTGCTTCCTAATCCACTTGACATTATCCTCTCACTGGTCTCAGTGTCCTCATGGCACTCTCCTAGCTGGTAGTTCAACTAAATCTCTTTGCTGGCTGAACCTTGGCCTTCTCCAGCCATGAGTCAGCGAGGAGAACACTAGCCTTAACTCAATAGTTGGGAGTGTGGCACTCTGTGGATGGATACAACAGCTAGAGGTCCTCCCCTCATGATCACTCAGATATTCAACTCAAACACCTGGCCAGTTAGAAGGGAGCTGCAGAGAGAGAGATGCAAAAGTTAAAATACAGTTTGGGGCCAGCCAGATGGCGTGTTAGCTAAAGAAGCTGGATCCCACATGACCAGTTGTGGGATTCTGGTCCCAGACCCAGTGCGTTGTGGAACATGCCAGATGTGTGTGCATGAGTGCCTAGAAACCCGAGAGGAGAATGGAGGAGAAAGGATTGTGGCATGGCCATCCCCCTGGGAGGGGCTTGCTTTCTCATTTCCCTGTCTCTGTCTCTCCCTGGCAAGCACATGTGCCTTATAGCAACATTTAAAAAATACATAAGGGGCCAACAGGTGGACTTTCACATGGCTGACAGTAGTTTGAGTTCCAGAGCCAGTAGCTTGAAAATCACACCATGGGGCCCAGCAGATGGGATAGTGGTTACGTTGTTGGACTTTCACACGGGCAACCATGACTTGAATCCCTGATCTGAAGGCTTGAAACTCATGCCAGGCACATATATGTGTTTGCCCAAAATCTTGAGAGGAGAATGGAGGATAAGAGATAGAGAAGGGATTGCAGTATGCCTATCTCAGCTGGGAGGTGATTTCTCGCCTTCTGACTCTGTCTTTCTGTTTCTCTGGCAAGTGCACATACCCTCTAGCAAAAATCTCTCTTAAGGTACATGGGCATGTGTGCCCCAAATCCTGAGATGAGAATGAAGGAGAAGGGATTGTGGCATAGCCATCCTCTGGGGGGTGATTTCTCACTTTGTGTATATGTGTGTGTGTATATATATATATATATAGACACTCTGCCCATGGGTTATTAAGATCCTATTTTGGGAACAAAGCCATGTTTTCTAAGACAATAGCAGGCACAAGATAGATGCAGTAATGTAGTATGGAAGCGGAATCCAGAACATTCCCCAAGAGAACTCCTAAAATAGTGGGGATTGTGACATCCTCCTCTCCGCATCCCAGGACCTCTTGTGGGTCTGGTGCACAGTCCCTGGTGTTGGCTAAGCCAGTGCGTGGAAGGGATGCCTAGTGGTGTGACTCTGAAAGGGCTGACTAGCATGTGAGGCACCGCCAGAGAGACAAGTAGGATTGTGAACCAGAGAGGAAGGTTGAGAGAAAGTTCTGGTTGCCAACAAGAATGTGAGCAAGAGCTCAGAGACAACCATCCCTGCCAACTTCCTGTGCTCATTGCCCTCCACTGTCATCCAGGAATTTTGAGGACAGATTTCTCTACAGAGAGTTGGAAACAAGATGGATCTGGTGAAACTAGCTTAGTTGGTCTCTTAAGTCTACTATTGCTCACCAATCTTTGACTGTTTGCTTCCATCCCTTACTCTCACTCTTTTATTCTTTCCTTTATTACATCTCCGTTTGCTCAGTTTCCCTTTTCCCTTGCTCTGAGCGGCCATCACTATCCTTACTCATCCAGACAAAGGGGATAAGGCCCGGGTGCAGTTACCAACTCACCAAGCGAAATTCAGTTTTCCCAGGCAGCAAGGAGCTTTTGTACGACTCTCCTGCCTCCTTCGAGGTATTAATCTCTTTTCTGTGGCTGGCATACCAGACACTCAGAGAGTTGACGTGGTTGTGGGATGACATAAATGGAAATCACAAATGCTCATTTTCCATTTCTGTATTTTGTTTTCTGAGTCATGGTGCCTCTGCAACATTTATGCTCTCCTTTCTCGCTGCCTAACACCTGAAAATCTGCAAAAAAAGTTCACATGCATATTCCATTCTTCACTCTAGAAGCCCAGATGAATTTTTTTAAAAATTTCTTGCCAAAAGGTGAGTATGTCAGCCAGAGAGAGAGAGAGAGAGAGAGACAGGCAGACAGAGAGGGTGAAAGCACCTTCCATGGAAAATGGTCATGCCACAATCCCTTCTCCATTTCTTCATCCTGTTGTGGTTTGGGGCATGCAAAACAAGCTGCTGTGTCTGGGACTCAAACCACAGGTTGGGCCTTGTGAGATCCGATTGCTTTAACCACCAGGCCACAGAACCCACCCTCAGGCGAAACTTTGAACAATACTTTGGCTCCTTATGAAGTCCAAGGAATCAGTAGAAGATTTTGATTTTATAATAAAAGGCTAGGAAAAGTAATTTTTTTCTCTCTCTTTTCTTTCTTTTCTTTTCTTTTTTTCTTTTTTTCTTTTTTTTTAATTACTCTTCCACTTTCTCCATTGTATTGTCCAGTTCAGGCTTTCCTATTGTATCTTTGTAAGGATTCTTTCCCCATGTCTCTTCAAATGACTTGACCACAGCTCTGTTATCTTCTAAGAACCGAAAAGCACTTCAGCTGCTTTAGAAAAGTGTGTCTGTTTTTCTATTTCATTAAGTAGGATGTGAAATCTTTCTGAAAACACATGAAAAGAATATAGAGCAGGCTTCTCAGAATCTGAAAGTCCCGTGGAAATTAAGGCCCATTAGTGTTGTTTTATTTTTATATAACATCAAAGAGTCACCCATGCATTTAAAATGTATTACTTGGTTTGGAAAGGAGTAGAGTAAGACATAAATGCAAACTTATTTGCTTCTTCATTATAGGAATCAAAGAAAAGAGCCAGGGAGAAGGAAAAAGAGAAGAATAAAAAATACAGCTTTGATTCTTTCATCTCGGGTTATTTCTGAAATGGCAAAATGATGATCCACAGAATTCTCAGGGCCCTCGGTACCTCGCTGCCAGTTTCCCTGCGGTCTGTGGGTGAGTTGCCGAGGAAAGGATCCTGTTAGCCTTTCTGGCTGCTGAGCCAAGACAGGCATCGCCACAAGGTGTCGCTATTGCTGAAATCGCGCTCCAGCTGCAGGATCAATTGCGATTATGCATATGTAACTTAGATTTCACTTTCGTTTCCAAATAGATTTATTGGGAAAAGCATTTTTTGATTGGCACTATCAGTTGCCTCCTTCACTTCAAATCAGTTGTGACCTTGACTAAGTTATGTAGTAAGGCTCAGATTGCTAATCTGAAATGAGATAACAAGTCTTGATTTTCAGAATTATCGTTAGCCTTAAATTAGAAGCCTTGAGAGAGCTGAGTTTCACATGCTAAGTTCTTAGTAGTACTTAGAAAGCTTAGCTCCCTCACCTTAAAAAAGTGAGGAATGGAGTCGGGAGGTGGGTGGAAGGGAGAGGATGGTAACATTTTAAGATGTTTCCTCCTTCCTTCCCTTCCTTTACTTTCTCTTTTTAAAATTGGATTTTAAGGCTGTAAGAATATCATCAAACACAGAATTCTGATTATTAATAGCTATGCCATTAACAAATGTTTTGAAAAAAAAAAAACTGAATACTTAGAGTCACAATATTAAACATATCTTAAAGTCTCTAAGAAGTTTCACCATAAAGAAACGGATTTAATTTTGTTTAATACTAAGTTTCCCAGGTTTCTTTGACCCAAGATCATATACTTATTTTTATTAATGCCCAGAAAGTTTAGTCTAGTTTAATGACTTGGTTCTACAAATGAAAAAAAGCAGAAATCCAAACAGTAAGGTTTGACTAAAAAAAAAAAAAATACATGTCTTGGGACCACCAAATGGCATAATGGTTACATCACTGGACTCCCATGTAGTAGACCGCTGTTCGAGTCCTGGAACCAACGGCTTAAAACTCACACCAGATGCATGTACATGTGTGCCCAAAACCCCAAGAGGAGAATGGAGGTAAAGAGATTGAGGCATGACCATTCCCTCTGAGGGGTGATTTCTTGCTTTCTGTCTCCGTCTTTCTGGTGAGCACACATGCCCTATAACAAAAATCTCTCTCTAAAAAAAAGAAATAAAAAAGGGAAAAAAAAATACATGTCTTGTAAGTGGCAGAGTTGGTCTAGAAAACACTGATAAAGTTGGTTTGCACCATTAACAATATAACACACACCTATATACCTATATAGTTATATAGTATATAGATATATAATGTAATCAATAGGTTAATAGATAACTATAATGAGAAGGTTAACAGTCACCTCTGGAACACTTGTTCCATGCCGAGTACTGCATTACACAGTTATCTCGCTTAGTCTTAGTCTTACAGAATGGAAAACTGAAGTGCGACGAGATCTAATAATGTTCCCACAGTCACACAACTCATACCTGTCTGTAAGTCTTTAAATACCAGGACCTTTCTCTTGATCTATTCAGGCTTGAAGGGCAGAAATGACCTGCCCGGCAAGGACATTCCTGAGCAAGAAAACGTACCAGAACCAAGAAAGAAACTATCTTCAGGGAGGCCACAGTCAACTCTTTTTAAAACTCATACTTCCTTCAAACAGGAGGGTGGAAATGGAGGAATTCTATGCAGAATAGGGGGATATTATGTAAACATATCGAGAGACACAAATGACTTCAATTAATTGTTGGGTTCTGGGCAAAGAAAATATGGACAGAACTGGGGAGTTAGTCATTTTTATGAATAACAGTTTGAGTGTTGAGCCACAATGACAAGCTTCTTGGGGAATGGTTTCAAACCATTATCAATTCAGTCACAATATTAGCAGCAGAAAGAACTCTGAAATTTGCAATAAGACTATAGGGAAAAAAACAGAAAAGCCCTTTATCTTGTGGGCTCTGGCCTGAAGCCTATGATGTCGGGTTACTGAACTGTGTGGAGATGCTATGGAGGCTCAGAGACCAGGCACCAGAGAGTTGGGGACACTGTTCTGTCCTTGGCACACATCTCCAGCTCCACTTCCTGCAGTAGTGGATCCTGAGAAGCCAGCATTGCAGCAAGACCAGCTAGGACTCCAAGGTAGTGATGAAGAGTACATAGTCACTCCAGGCACATAGTGACTCGCCTAACGCCACTTTTCTGTCTGGAGAATAAATCTCTAGAGCTATAATATCACGTTTGCATTCAGGCTTGGATATTCAATTTGTGTTGTCTATGGTCTACTGGTTGAGCTTCACAAAGATTTTTTTTTATTCTGGAGAGTTTATATATTTTGTTGATAAGCGTGAATTTGATACTATAAAATTCGAACTTGAAATCATTTCCTGTATCACTGTTTATGGTTCTGATCAGATAAGCTTCACTACTCGACAACAGATTAGAATCGTCAAGCCTTCATCACTTCAAGAAAAAGAATTGTCTCTTTTTTAAAGCATATAGTAATTAACACACACACACACACACACACACACACACACACTTTCTGGGGGGCCTCTGTCTAAAGTTCCTTGTAGCTAATATCTGGAATACTGTAGTGAAAGGTCAGTAATGTAATCTCTCATGATCACAGCTCTCTGTCTAAGGGGTTGTAGACCACCTTATGGGTGAGAGCTGAAGTGGGTAGCTGTGTTCTGCTCTACAGGATCCTATTGAATAGATTCTTCTACACTTGGCCCATACTTGCACTCAGGTCTGCATTTGAGCATAAACGACTAGTTTCAGACTTAGTTAAGTTGTGTGCCATGAACAGGCAAGGCAGCAGGAAGTAGTTGCTGTAAAGTACAGTCTGATGTGCCAAGTGGCCAAGAAGAAAACACCAACAAAGGATGGCTACAGATCCCACCACCATGACAGCCCTGACAGCTGGTGGCCTAGCACTGGATTATTCTGCTGGTGGAGTAAACTTGCATTGAGCCAGCTGACAGAGGCTGTACCCATGGACACAATAATAGTAATCTCTGCACATCCCTGAAGTGGGACGAAAGCAGAGTAAGAGTAAAAAAAAAAAATACACAACTTTAGTCTGATAGGATCAGGGATTTTTTTGTAAGTAAAATATTAGAAGAGAATAGGAAAATCTACTAGCCATTGGTGTTACTAAACAGAATTGATGACCAAGCTTTCACTGCCTACTATTTTATTTGAGACCCTAAAAGGTACAACAGATTCAAAGTTAATTATAAAAAGGGAGGGAAACTACATCACAGTCTTTGTGTGCTTACCGTCACCTGTCACAGCAGCTGATACATACTCTCTTATCAGAGAATGTTAAAGTAAAGACACGCCAGCAAAGCTCATGTATTAATTCTGTTAACGAAATTAGATTGCCAGCACTTGTTTCTAAAATTTGGAATCAAAAATGAAAATTAATAAGTAAATAGATAATTCAAAATAAAGTCGTGCCTACCCTATGGAGCCCCCACCCCCCCAAAAAAAGGGGAATCTCAGTCTTCGGACCTGTGAAGCTTGCTCTGCTTGCCTAGGTCATCTATATTCGAAGGACTGTCTTTATCTTTGTGGGCACGGGAAGGAGATGCTTTCCAGTGGAACGGCCAAACGCAATCCAGATCCTGTGTGATTTCTCATTTTCTCTTTGCTATTCTCCTACATTGCCCCTTTGTTCCAATTTGAACTTTCCTTAAATCCCAGCTAAACATCACCTAACCTGCCCCCCAAACAAGATATGATCTTATCCATCTGGGGTCATTTGAAAAGTTGTTTTCAATATTTGTTGTACATAAAAAGCCAATGTAGAACGTGTTATAAATGTAGCTGCTTATGGCTTACAGTGATTGTGATTAAGCAGATCTGGGGTGGGATTCTATAATCTTCCTCTCTTTTTTAAAATGTTTATTTATTTATTTATTTTTTGAGAGAGAGAGAGAGAGAGAGAGAGAGAGAGAGAGAGAGAGGCACACAGCAACAGGGACTTTGCACTGCAGTTCATTTGCAAGCTCAGCCACAGTATCACCAGCACATACATGTGTTCCCCAGTGTGTACAGGAAGGCCTTGGGGCACAAATCAATGATCTTCCTATGTGGCTCATGTTGCATTAGCTCTGTGCCACCATCTGACACTCCACTTCATTTGATAAAGTACCACTGGGCCCTTCCCAACTCCCATCCACATGTACAACAGAGATCCAGTGAACCAGCTGCTGACAGAGAGCAGCTAGGAAGTTCTCCTCTGGTGTTCTCGTGCTACTCAGCTATAGATATCCAGCTGAGTCCCAGGTACATCTTATCCCGAGAGGCTGTTAGATGATACAAGCACCTGAACCTGATACACCCTACTCTGATTGAAAGATGCAGCCCTTTACCAAGAATACATCTGGGAAGAAAAACTGTTGTTTTCCTCTGGTACTGTAGAACTTACTCAAAAAAGTAGGAAGAAGCATGTACTTCATCAGATGACTAAAAACTAGTGCAAAGACACAGAAATATGAAAAAAAAAATAAGGAAATACTTCTCCCTCAAGGGACATGACAATTCCTCATCAACCACAGACAGCATGATAGAACTTGCATAAATGTCAGAAAAAGAATTCAGACTATTCATAGTGACAAAACTGAACATGATACAATAAAAAACAGACAACCATCTTCAGGAGATGAGGAAGTCCTTCCACAACTGGAAGATAGACATCTACTAAAGAATCAAACAGGATTTCTAGAGATGAAGACTATAATACAAGAAATGAAGATCTCCCTTGAAAGTATTAATAGCAGATTAGACCGTGCAGAGGATTGAATGTCTAATCTAGAATACAAAATCTTTGACTTAGACAAAATCACCAAAATGAATTAAAAAAAAATTCTTAAATGATTTGCTTCTTTTTCTTAAACCCTTGATTCCCTCCCTCTTTGGCTCTCCATTGTTTACTCTCTTACTCTCCTCTCACACTATTGTTGGTATCCACAGTTGCTCAGAATTTTTTTTTTAAAAAAGTAAAATATTAGAATAACAAGATCTACTAGCTACTGGTGTTACCAAATGGGATTGAAGATAAGATTTTGGCTGCCTATCATTTTATTT